CCAATCCCTCATCGAACTAATTGTCATAATATAGGAAGAAAATTGGTGTACACCAGCAACATATATAGAACAGTATTCAGATAAAACATTATAGGAAATATAATTTAATTTCAAACAAGCTTTTAATTAATTGCCCTAAAAAGAATCGGTTTAAAGCAAAAATAGCACTTCTTCTTTCTTTTTTTTTTCTTTTCTTAACTTTAATGATATAGTTTATTTAAATAAAATAAATCACACGGAAAACCAAAGCTTACACGCAAATTAAATACCACAGAACGAAAACTATGAACTGTTTGACAAGGGGTGTTTGACACGTCAATTTCATCATTCATAAATTCGCTCAATATTACGATATTGAACGAATTTATGAATGATTTGATAAGTCAGTCCCTTAACCCGAAAGTTGTTACTTGCCGCTTCGATTTTGTTGGTGAGATTGAGAAAAAAAAATTATCGTTACTTAGGAAGTAACTAATTAGTGGTTTACTTGTAAATGGTGAAAGAAGTCCTATATTTTAGCAACATAACGATATTTAAGTATTTAATTGTTATGTGCTCTACATTTTGACATGTCAAATTTAACGTAACGTTTATATCTCAATCCACATAAAACCAAGACAGTTAATCCAGTTTAGATATATTTATATAAATGGCCTATCTAATGTCGTATAGAAACGAATAGATCATAACCGATATGTTAAACAGATAAATAAATAAACCTTTTCTACAAAGCCTTTTGTTTTGCAATAAAGCGCTTTAGATCAAATATTATATTCACGTGAACGATAATTTGCCTTTGGTATGCTGAAATGAAAAGGTTCGCTTTGTGGCAACGAATAATATTTCAAAGCGAAAAGCCACAAGTATACGTCGTTGTGTAGGTGAAGTTCAAAGTTCAGTTCAGAGGCGAAGGTACATACAATATACAAATGTGAGATATTCGAGTATCAAACGAAATAAAGATCTAAGTTATGCACCGAAGCAATGGCATGGTTGCATATGGACCGAACTCAATTGAACCGGCTACGTTGTAGTTGGATTAGAGTATTGCATGAATAATAAGTTTTACGAGTGCGTAATCAACACGAAAACATAAGGTCGATTCTACGTATCTGTCAAACTTGACTGAACTTGTATAAGAGTTCTAACGTTTTTACTTTGATTCTAATATTTTAACTATTACTGAACTTGAATATTAACAATTATTATAACGACAAGTAGCACTAGTGGTTATATCACTGTCCGGGAACGCAGCCGAAATCCAAGTGACCGCTGCTACATGCGACCCATGTGTCCCTTGGCTCGAGTAGATAACGTCATATCCGATATACAGTGTTGCCAGCGCCAACACTTGTTCCTCAACAAATATTTTATCCTTTCGTTAATGCATTCTTAGTCTCAAGATACACTAAAAGGTGGAATTAAATGCACTAATTACTGTTCGATCGCCATTAAATAAAAAATAAAGTAAAAGCGTATATTTGTCCCACTGCTGGGTAAAGGCCCTCCTGTACAGAGGGTATTAGGGCATAAACCACCACGCGACTCATATCGGCGGACTTCATATATCTAAAATAATATAATATCGAAATATATATAAGTAAAAAAAAGTAACAGCCTATACATGTCCCACTGGGCAAAGGCCTCCTCTATACAGAGGGTATCAGGGCATAGTCCACCACGCGGCCCCACTGCGGATTGGCGGACTTCACATATTTTCGAAATACATTTTTTTTTGTTATTATTCCGAAAATATGCAGGTTTCCTCACGATGTTTTCCTTCACCGCGGAGCACGTGATAATTCAGCACTTAAAGTCAAAAACTTCATTGGTGCATGCACCGGGGATCGAACTCAGGTTGCTCAAGTATACATTGAATTAAGGCGAGCGCCCGGACACTGAGCTATCACGGCTCTTATTCGAAATATATATTCGTTATCATTTTGAAAATATGCTGGTTTCCTCACGATGTTAAGCATGTGATAGCTCAGTTCCGCTCCCGCTAAGCATGTGATAAGTCAGCACTTAAAATTAACAATTTCATTTATGCTAGCACCGGTAATTGAACTCAAGATGCTCGATTTCATTGAAATAAAAGTGAGCACCTGGACAATGAGCAATCGCGACAACACATTAGCAAAAAGGCAATCTCAATGAAACTACTGAAGTTTATTTTCGATTACAACTCCGAACATTTCAAATCCGTCAAGTATTTATGTGTATGTTTAATGGTCGCCATGTTAATTGTTATTTGTAGTAATCGCGTTTAGGTTGTTGTGTATGTATGTCATACAAATGCTCTCTGAACTCCCAAAACTGCATAATGTTCAGTTTGTAAATTAACATGAAGAGTGATAGAGATAGCTAGAAGAAAATATAAGCATATATATATATATAAATATAGATAGCTAAAAGAATTCAACGAGTAAGGTATATTGTCTAGATTTTGAATTTGATAATGCGAAGTACCTAGCGAGTCTCAAGCAGACTGCCAAATCCTTAAACAATAGATAATAATAGAATTGGGTCGCCAAATCCATACTAATATTATAAATGCGAAAGTAACTCTGTCTGTCTGTCTCGCGTTCACACCAAAACTCCTGGGCCGATTTAAATGAAGTTTTGTACACAGATAATCTAGAGCCTGAGGACATAGGCTATTTTTTAAATGGAAAAAAGTGTTTTTAAGGGATTCAACGCGAGCGAAGCCGCGGACGAAAAGCTAGTTATTAATAATAATTTTACATAAAAATAATTTAAATAAAAATTAAAGAAAAATGCCAATATAAAATTTTTGAATAATAGTACAAATCTTTGTATACCAACCAGTATTTAACTTTTAAGTTCATAAATTAAGTTCGGATCATTTTTTATAATTGCCACGTGGTAGTAACTGAAAGGTCTGTTATAGCATAATTCATATTTTAGACAACCGGTATTATCCATCGACAATTTAAATGTATTATGTATTCGTGCAGGAAGTAAAAATTTTAACAGAAATAAATATTTAAGCGTTGATAGATTTAAATATTACTGTCCTTTTGTTGTAATCGAATACTTATTTTTCCAATTATTGTCTTAAAGGTTGTATAACTTTCAGTTTTAACTGTCATAAATGTTGTTTTTCTTGTTTCCATCGTCTTGGGTGTGTTAATTCTTTAGAGAATTAATGAAATGGATTTTGTACGCTTTGAAATAATTTAGAACAGAACAGAACATTATAATATAGTGAAAGACGTAGTAAACATATAAAATAAAAATATAAAAATCGCAGGTAGGCAGCAAAAGTATTTGTGGAAGATTATTGACTACTGTTGCACCCTTTAGAATTAGATGATAGGTGGCACTGTAATAGGGTGCTTGCTTCATAGCAACTAATCGATCTATTCAGTGCATAATGCAATACTTGTGTCTAGATTATCTCTCATTTCTATAATAGAAATTATTTTATTCTTTTATTTTCATAGTTATAAAGAATATAGGTATTCGAACCTCATTTAGAAAGTATGTGGCCCGATGAGTCAAGTGGCCGTTACGGGCCGCTAACTATGATAACGTAATAAACGTCGCTATTTTATACTAGACACATACTGTAATATAATAAAAATGTAGAACATGGATTGTGAAATCTTGCAGACCTATGTCCTTCAAATACAGCTACAGCGGATACAAATTAGGTATTGTTAAACAATTGATAAATTTTTACTTTCACTCTGCGAAATTCATATGTAAAAAAATAGGTTACGCCAAGGTACAATATCAGAAATCACACACTCTGTCACGTCCTAAATACATCTTGGAATAGTTAGGGAATAAAAGTTCACTGGGTGAGGCAAGAACAAGTGAGATCTTACTTTGCCATTATTAATTATCATTATTAATTGTTAAATAAAGTAAAAGTTCAAATCTTTTAGAGAAGTCCCAAAAAAAATATTTTTATTTTCGTAAAAAGTTTAGACCGTTGTCCGGACATCAAAGATATTTGTGTGTTATATGCATGTGACACTATAAATTACTTCTTTGGACAACCATATTTTTGTAGTGTAATAGGTCCTATTTGTTATATCATATTGTTATTTTTGTGTGTGAAGCTTGTAATTAATTTGACACCTACTTCTTTTATTGCTAAAAATGGATCATGCGTATCTCTATCTATCTATCTATCTATCTGGAATAACCCTTAACGAAACTCGGTTAACAACTCTCACGTAATTTTTTTTACTAGTGAAGTGTAAACTTCTAACGCTGAATGTAAAGGACGTCGTAATTAATAGCTGTTGCAATAAACGAACCATAATAGCATTATTGTGTAATGTAGAAAATTCACAAGTAAAATAAAAAAGACCAAAGAAACTATGCGAAATGAACTAATCCGATGTGAATTGTCTTTCCATTGTTTAGATGTGCTGTTTAAGCACAAAAGAGCTGACACTCACGGTAGTTTTAAAAAATTCCCATGACTCATTTGCATTTGTGGGTTAATTTATACTTATAACTTTACAAATCGTAGTCGAAAGTTATCCACTGTAACCAAGAAATATAATTATTAATTTATATCGCATTTAATGTAAAATTTTAAGCACTAGACTTTCTTGTTAAATCCACAAACACCCATGTATAGGAGTAAATATTACATCATACAAATATAACAGACATGTAAAAAACCGTAAAAAAATATTAGAACATATATTTGTTGCAAGCAAATGGCGATAATATATTTTCTTTTTTTTTGTTGATATTGGAGGTGTTTTACTATATTTTTCAAGTGAATATGTAAAGGTAAAGATGCAGCCGTCACTTCCTTGACACATGCAGTAAGTATCCGTTGCGAACGAGCGTCAAGTTAAAAGCCCCACACGAGGTTTTCGCGGTCGCACCCAGAAGCCCTTCCAATAAACCTCAAGGCCTTCGCTATTCATATAAAACGAGATCAGCCGTCCGCAACAGCACATTTCGTGACTTTCACGCGAGCAGTACACATTAAAAAAATGTATAGGCTCATGTTACTTGCGTTTGCGGTAGGGACAGTGGTGTGTCAACAGCATGAGGGCGCACGGAGAGTTCCCAAATATGCGGGGGATCCCAAAACTGCTGCCATCTTGCAGGAAGCACGTTATTTGAGCGGCAATGGAGCATTTGGTGCAGCCTACCAACAAGAGGACGGCATTGACTTCAAAGAGGAGACAGATCCAGATGGCAACAGACGCGGCAGCTATTCATACATTGACCCCACCGGACAAAGAAAAACTGTGAACTATGTCGCCGGCAAAAACGGATTCATGGCTAGTGGGGATCACATCCCAGTTGCACCTCAGCCCGTAGCGCCCACTCCAGGATACCAACCTGATCCCCGCTACAACTCGCCCGACTACAAAGCGCCTCAATACAATGCGCCCCAGCAGTACACCGCGCCCGCGGCCCCCAGGAGCTACGGAGGCAAACCCAGCGTGGATGATGGCCAGTACCATCCTGAACTCTACGAGCAAGAGACCTATGTAGCGCCACAATCGCAATACCAAGCTCAGCCACAATACCAACCTCAGCCTCAGCCACAGCCACAGTACCAGCCGCAACCTCAACAGTACCAGCAACAACCCCAGTATCAGGCTAACAACATCTACCCAGGTGTACAGCAAGCTCAATACAGTGGACTGCCTTCAGAGCAGTATTCTGCTTACCAGCCTGAGACCCGTCAATCCCAGCAATACTACGAACCCACCACCCCTCCCCCGACTCGTTTCTTCCCCCCTGGCAAATTCAGTCTTAACAGAGCGCCTGATGGCTATTCCTACTCATTCCACAAAGTATAAATAAATATTTTATAAGAACCAGAAGCCCCGGCGATTTGTTAAGTTTGTAACAGTAAAACGTATGCACAATTAACAATTCGCCGTGTCATCGAGGGGTCGATTGCGCGGGCTGGGCCATGACTGCTACACGAGCATTTCTTAAGTGTTGTTTCGCTGTGATATTGTGAGTTAATAGACAGTTGTATAAATGTTGTTCGTTTTTGTTATTTGTACAAAATATCTCACCGAAAGAAATGCATGTCATCTGATAAATTTTTTTGTAAATAAATTTAGACATAATGTTAAAACATTTTAGGTTGATTTAATAATAATAATTTACCTACACCGTCGATGACAAATTATTTGTTCCTATTTGCCTTCCTCATGTTGCCTCAATTAAATATTTGATACATAAAAATCATACATGTTTTTTTATGAAAGAGTTAAGAAGTATGAGCAAACTTCCTTGTGCTCAAGGTCTAACCACGTGACGGGGTGTGGGCTGTGTCCGCATTCTGTATTACTTGCTCAAAGCGGCGGCAAGTAGATCACCTTAAGCTATTACAAACGCATTATTATGGTACAGAACCGGCCTCGCGCGCCACGCCTGACTTTCATTTACCTTTATCTTAGTAACACAACTTTAATGCACAGTAAGTTAAAGTTCAGTTTATCTCGTTTTGTTCTGATAGGTATTAAACTGAGATATACCTAGTTTAACTTATAAACATATGAAGTGTCTTCTAGATTCGAAAGTACATACCCGTATGGATTTTAGACAAGTTGCAAGTTGCAATAGCTATTCTACACGAAAACTAGCAATTTTTATAAATTTATTGGACACTTTATTAAACAGCGACAACGCATCTATCTGAAACCTTAAGGGTGTTGCAAATGTCCATGGGCGACGGTTATCACTTAAAATCAGGTGTACCCATTTGCTACCTTCTCACTAAAAAAAATCTTAACGCTCTTTATGTACCTGAAGAATATTTCTGTTTTATTTATTTTCTACAAAGAAACTTAATTACATTAATAAATTTTTAAAAATAAAGTTGACACGTAATTGACATTTCAATCGTTTTTCTATGATGTATGCAACTTTTATATAACCCTATATGTTTATTAAAGTATAATTCCAGTCAACTGTTTGTTTATAGTGCAAATAAACCTTTTATTTTATTTGATTCGTTACTATATAAAGAATGTTTCTATTTCCGTCTCTAATTGATAGTTACTATTTCGACTACAATTTTTTTCAATTTCGTGCGACTCTATAATGCACGCAACAATGTTCATGGCTTAAAGTTATTTCTTCATAACATGTTATTGACGGAAATTTGGGTTGATTTGTACAATTGCCGCATCGGCAATCATATTGGATACAAATATTGCAAACAAGCAATAAAATCACTAGCTATTTCAAATGCTCTATACATTTACTTCTCAACAATTTTCCATTCATTTTGATGTCGTTCCAATGGTTTGATTTGGAACTGTAATATGACATCTAAATGAGACATCGTCAAACTATGTAATCACGACGACTATTCTGCACCGATGCTATAAACACAAAAATTAAGAAAGGTTTAAGTTATTTTCTTTGCGACTTATAAATGAGCCCTAAATATCAATTAATATTTTTTTAATTAAAAATCTGAAAGAAAGCAGGCGATTCGCCTAGCGTTAAGTGATTTCCACCTCCCTTGAACATCTTCAACATGCGTTCAACTGATGCGTTCTAAAGGCGTTGCCAACCATTAAAGGTTGGGCTGAAAATTTGTATTAAAGGATTGCTTACAATATATATATTAAATAAGTAAAAGACTTTTACGCTCTCAACTTCATACTAGACTTCAGATTTGTTTCAAATTTTTTTAACAAATTGATCATCGAACTGTTGATAGAACAGCAACACCCATAATTATTCCATCCCTTAGTATATTTTATATCAAATGCTATTTATTAAGAAAGAAAGAAAGAAATTTATTTAACATCATCGAAAATAAAAATAAGACATCCAGGAAAAAAATGAAGTACATTAAAATTATAAATAATAGGTTATCATTATTATACATTTCGACAGGCAGTGTGATGTTAAATGGGTGTTCACTCGGCTTCTGCTGCGGTGTTGACCACAGCGCCGGTTTTCAGTGAACCCTATTAAGGCTTTTTTCTTTTTAAATACCGTTACATTCCTGCCAAATTGTTTTTTCAGTTAACTGCGTCGTGCTAAGAATTTGATTGATTATGTCAAAAGCGAAAAAAAACAGGATAAATGGATATAATCTTATTTTGGTTATAAGAATAATGCAGCCAGTCAATTCTTTTTTTATGTGAGAAGGTAGCAAGCGAGCTGGCGGTTCACCTGATGGTAAGTAACAACCCATGGACATTTACAATGTCCGTAGGGTTGCAGATGGGTTGCCTCTTCTATCTTTCTTATAAGGTTTTGACTATTTGCTCCTATCCATATTCACCGATCAGTCTCTTTATAATTCTATTTCTTACCCATAAGATTTGTTCTCTCCTAGAACTGTTTTGAATTTACATCTAGAATGTTCCAAAGAATATTTAACTAAATAGTGAGATATGGGATTTAAGCAGGTCAACACAACGAAACGAGAGTTACGGAAGGAACAGCGTGATGTCGTTTTATTTATTAAGAAAACCCTTTTCTATACTATGATTGCACCAGCATGATATATTCGATATTAAGTTCCTTCTTTATTAATCTTTTCCCATTTTTTAATTTCAATGCTAACGTGCCCGAAGCGTCAGCTGCTAGGCTAGTGTTAGCGACAACTGACCGCACCCAGTAGCATCACCACACAAACGCCACATCCAAACATTAATTAAACATCATTTAATATTTTTAATCGTTAAAATATTGTTGTAATTAATTAATTATTGATTATTTTAATAGTATTTTCTACTATTACTAGAATTTTATAATTGAAATTAATTTAATTTTCCATAATCATGAAGCTGCCAAGTGTGATCTCATTGATTGACGTTATAAACTAAAATAGAAAGTCTGTCAATATATATGAAGTTTGAAATGCCTTCATTAAGATATAAAAGGAGAAGGAACGCAGTCAAGGAAAAAATTGTAAACTAATTGAAGCTCGAGTTTATTCATTACACCTGTCACACTTGTTATTTAAATTTGGCGATCATAAACAAAGTTTTTTCATTTTGCTATCCTTTTTTTATCCCATTTAAAATTTAAAAGTAAATGATTTTGTATTGTAAATTTAAATAAGACTATAAAAGTAGTTTTTGTTCTCAAAGGAAGTGTAAAATTCTTCATGATACGTCAACAAAACATCGCAGTATATTATAATTCCAGTATTTAATAAGTATTCCACACTTCCAAATAACGTTCCATCAACTTATGTCTGAGACATTATAGCACCTACTGAATTAGCCGACAGAGCGTCCTCCTCCTCACAGCAGGCCGCCGATGAACTCCTCAGCTTTTGATAACTCGAAGTGATTGTTAATTCAAAAACGTTTTAATGAAACCCATGATATCTTACAGCTTACTTATAAGCAAGCGAGTAGGCTAAATGTAACCTTTTTGTCGTTCTCTGCGTTTTTATGAGTATTAATTGCATAAACCAGACTATTGGTCAACCTCTGACTTGAATTTACTAAGCTGTTATTTTATCATTGCATCGCAACACTATGAATAAAATATATATACCGTGTAAGGATTATGAAATTGAATTTTCTGAGGCATAGTTCTTGCCAATTGCTTAAAAATATAAATTGAAATGTCGTTCTTGCACACCTGCAGTCTTATTACGTTTAAAGAATAATACTGTAATAATAAAAATAATACTCTATAGTTAAAAACGTAACAAAAACTTTACGAAAGTAAATTTTCTGGTATGGTCGTCTGGTATGAACGTTTTATTACAGAATTGGGGATGTGAATAAATAATTGAGCCTTGTAAATAACATCTTATAATATGGTATATGTAATAAATTATCTTGCCAATTAAAGAAAAATCATTATTTATGACTGTTATTAATCATATTAATTCTGTGCATGTCCACACAGACACGATTTAAATTCTTGGATTTGACATCGAGCAGCGTGAAATTTCGCGATCACTTGGAATAGAAAGCCAAACTGGCTTCTAAAAAGTTTGGTGTCTTGGGTAGAGCGAGGCAGTATTTCTTCAGCTCTATTAAATGCAGACGTTCGCACATGAAGTACAGTTCCCATCTATGGGCTGGGGCGCCCCAATACCAGCTCCTACTTGACCGCATCCAACGTAGAGCTTACTCGAATCTTCGGTGACCAGATCGGTTTCAATCGTTTCGACCCTTTGGCCTTAGAAAGGGACTTTTAATCTCTTTGCATTTTATATCGAATCTATCACGGGATTGCTCGGAGGAGTTTTTCGGATTAATTTAATGAGAAATAATGATATTGACTGTTGCTTCTCAGTTAATTCTTGATTTTTTTTTAATGTAATTATAGAACTGGCGGTACATCTGATGTTAAGTGATAACCGCCGCCTAAGTACATTTGCAACGTAGCGTTGTAGATTTTAATAAAGTGGACACAGTTACCTCACTCACCAGATGAAACGCAGAACGCAGAAGTATACACTTCCACTTCACGCCAGTCTTCTGAGATCGTGGTTCTTCTTCTTCTTCTTTGATTAATGGCCTCTGAGATCGTGGTTATTCCCCGGATGGACCTGCCCATTTGTGCAACAGCGAAGACTGTTGCGTGTTGATGTCTATAAAATAAGACTGAATTTTCAAGGTACGGTTATGTGCATAATATAAATATTAGAAACAAACATAAATTACCTCTAGACTACGCTTATATAGACTGCATAGAGTAAGTAAATCTTTTATGAGATAATGTATACGTTTTTACCAGAAAATCCCAAAAATTTATCAAAATGAATCATTTACTAAATTCAAAAAACTTGTGAAGGAACGTTTGTGCCCCTAAAGGCTCCTGTCGCGAATGCGAAGCAGTTATTTATTTG